AATACCGTAGTTCATTCCTTTCCTAATGACTTTTTCCATAACTCATAACTCAGTATTTCCATGAGGAAAATGTTGCATGAAGTTAATGTATATTGTCCTTGCCAGGGCAGAAGCCAAGATACAGGAAGATACAGGAAGCAGCATTTGCTGTACTGATGAAAGTCACCATGGTGGCCAAGAATGAAGTGGGGAATTCAAGGACATTTCTCTAATTGTAGGATAAGCACTAGACTGCTAACCACAAGGTGGGCAGATTTACCGCCTCGGAAACCCTATATAGGATCACTATGAATTGTGGTCGACTTTAGGGTCGTGGGTTTGGTTTGGGATTGAGTAGGGACAACTCACCCCCACCTATTCTGGCTAAGCATGGCTTACAGGGTGCATACATGTTATCAGGAGGGGCCAGCCTCCTGACAACGTGCATGTTATCAGGAAAAGGATATCATGGTTGATAAAGTAGAGGGACAACAAAGAGGAAGAACTCCAATGCGGTGGATTGACACTGTGGCTGCTACAATGTGCTCCAACATAGACTATGAGGATGGTGCACACGGAACAGGCAGTGCTTAATCCTGCTGTGCACAGAGTCTCTGAGTGGGAGACTTATGGTACCTAATAATAAGAGGAAGGAGCTCTGGTAGCGTAGTGGTTATGAATCAGGCTGCGAACTGCAAGGTCAGCAATTTGAAACTACCAGCTGTTCCGTGGGAGAAAGATGAGGCTTTCTGTTCCTGTAAAGATTTACAGCCTCGGAAACCCTGTACAGGGTCGCTATGGGTCGGAACCGACTTGACGGCACTTAACAACAACAATAACAAGAGGAGCAGAATGACTGGGTCACAGAAGCAATGCTGTGTGGGACAGTATGATAGTTACAGCATTCTGCAAGTCCATTGTTGTTGTTTGTAAAGTGCCATTAAGTCAGTTCCTATTTATAGTGACCCTGTATCAGACTTCCCAGGAGCGGCTGGTGAGTTTGAGCCACCAACCTGGAGGTTCAAACCAACCTTGAAGTCCAGTGCTTATTCTACAATACTACATCAGGTAAGTCCATAGAAGGTAGTTTTGGCAGAAGCACTGCACGCAGGGAAGGCAAATCCATACCCAGAGTAAATGTCTACTCTGTTAAGAATGAAGCACTACCCCTTCCACGATAGAAACAATCCAGTGATAGCACCTGCCTCAGGTTGCTGACTGATCATCTGGGAAATGACTCAGGGTGGGTCTCTGCTCCTTGCAGATTGGGCACTTACAGGTGACTGTAGCCAAGTCAGCCTTGGTGAAAGGAACTCCATGTTTCATAACCGCCATTGCTGCCACCATGGCCATTGGGCAATGACAGGAATGAGTTGAGAAAGAAGCTGACTGGTACCTACAGTCATCTGATGATTAAAATCCTCTACTTCTGAGGTTACCTTTTGTTGAATATTCACACAGGACACAAGTATCTTAATGTATATTCAGTGAGGTCTATTCACATACCTTTTCTCCAGACCTACTTGTTTGTCAATTATCAATCATGTTTTTCTAACTGCCTGACAATTAACCACTGACAGCAGCCCTTGAATGATATAAACTCATACCTCTGGTCATCTCTCCTTCCAAGCAAAATGAGCAACCAGATACACTACTATGAATTCTACCATTGGGAGGATTTCCCTAACACTGTCCTTCAGGGATGTTCAAGAAAGGGCCTGAAGTGCTCTCCCTGTCCTCTTTTTCAGATGATGACAGAGTATCACAAAGAACCATCTGCAAACCAGGCCTGAGTTTTCTCTTCCTTCATCAACTAACCATGGGATCAAAGGTGCAGACTGGGCAAGAGAAGGTAAGAGGAAGCCATGGACATTTAAGTCACTTCCTCCTGTAAATTACTTGTGTCTTCAGGGCCTGTGTAAGACCAATCTTGTGTTTGGTGATGGAATGCTGCTCTGCAAGTCCATCAGGGTTGAAAACACCCAGTTCATGATGTGCAGCTCAATTCATAGTTAAATATCTGTCTCTACTAAGGCCCAGCAGCAAGCCAAAAGCTGTTTCTCAAAAGGAGAGAAATGTATCCAGAGGATGACAGGGCTTCACTCTAAAATCTTTCAGGATCTTTGTGCTCAGTGAGATCACATATAGGGAAATCTCTGCCACTGACTCATCAAACACCATTGGATCTGCTGGATCATATGACCCAGGTGGCAGTGATCATGACTTTGATAGTTGTTGTTAAGTGCTGTAAAGTTGGTTCCAACTCATAGTGACCCTGTACAGGAATTCCAAGGTGTTAATACTCCGAAGAAGTCCTTGACAACTCCGAAGAAGTCTTTTCTCCATTGATAAGAATGTTGTTTATTGGTCCAGTGGTGAGGATTTTTATTTTCTTTACATTGAGATGTAACCCATACCGAAGGCTGTGGTCTTTGACATGGTCTATCTGATAAGAACTCCTATAATGTTCAAATTCTTTGCATGACTACGAGGCCCCCTCAAGATTTGACATGGAGGTGCTCAATAAATGCTTGTTGGATAAATCAGTAAAAATCAAGACAATACATAGAACTAGAACAGGAATAATGAGATTGTTGAAATAATGTGAAGAATGTAACTAATGTCACAGACCAATATGTGTAGGAATTGAATGGGAACCTGATTTTCTGTGCACTCTTCCAATGAAAATACAATAAAACACTATTTTGAAAGAAATTAATATGATACAACCTATAGAAAAAAGAATGTGAGAACCAACCATACTATCCTACAGCCCACTTGAGGTTCAACCACAATAATTATTTATATCTTAGTGATACATTAAGTATCATAGTGGTTACAAATCGGGCTGCTAACCTCAGGGTCAGCAGTTCAAAACTACCAGCTGTTCCGTGGGAGAAAGATGAGGCTTTCTGCTCCCGTAAAAAAAATTTTTTTAATGTTTTATTGTGAATTGTTGTTGTTGTTAAGTGCCGTCAAGTCGGTTCCGACCCATAGCGACCCGGTACAGGGTTTCCGAGGGTGTAAATCCTTACGGGAGTAGAAAGCCTCATCTTTCTCCCGCGGAGCGGCTGGTAGTTTCGAACCGCTAACCTTAAG